ATGAGGGATGTACTACTTTTAAGATTTGATGATACTGATGCACTGTGCTACCTGTGCCAAGTGACAGGATCGGGCTCCGCCTCGGGCTGATGAGCTTGTCTCGCCGCCCTCTCTTGTGCAACCTTGGAAAGTCAGTAGAAGACAAATACGCACGTTTCACTTTTTATTAAACGCAGCCGAGAGACAGCCTTCAATGGCAGGGGGCAAACAGCACGATGAGGTGGGAGCCCTCAGCTTAATAAATCGAAAGGCAAAACAATTCTACCTAGAGCAGTCTACTACAGTCTAGTGCAGCTGAGGCGCCTTCGTCCCAATTGTATAGCCACCGCTCCATCTCATGGTCCCAAGCCAGATCATCGATGCTGAAGCATCGCCATTCGTGATTGGGACCCTGTGCCAAGAGGTTTATGTTTATGTGCGCAGTCTTCAAAGCTCCCTTGCACCTCCTTGCCCACGTGCCTCTATCCATTGGAAGCGGAGACATGCGTTTAGGAAAATCTGCGATCTGTCCGGGCTGTGGGTCCAGTAGACTCGCCCGACCTCGGTTCAGTGGCGAATGAGAACAACTGTGAAGAACTTTGTGAAAAGGAGCCAAGGCGCTGGATACACACGCCCGTTACGGGACTCCGCAGTACAGACCTGAGTTGTTCGGGTAGGTATGTGGCAACAACCTATATAAATGATCCACTATGATGATATTAAGTTGCGGTCTAGCTGCACCATCAGCCATGCTGCAAGCGCTTGCAAGACAGGAGCAATGGGAAAGCTAGAGAAACTTTGGGCCAAAGCTTTGTGAAAAGAGATTACCAAGCGCGAGCATTCGGGTGAGTTCGGAAATTGCTGTTCTGAAATTTAGAGGCTGGAACTTAGATGGCCGACTATGAGTCGATGGATGGCATGTGAAACCTTACTCGATGATGGGACAATTACCGTGAAAGGAAAGCCATGGCAGTTCACAAAAGACAGGTGCGAGACTGCATTGCAGATTACAGACAAGGATCTCTGTTTTTCAAGCTCTGCATTTGCCGTGTCAGTCTATAGCCGGCTGACAGTGAAACCTGGTCCGAGTCCTCGATTGTGTCTGATACGCACCATGATCGTACGCTGATCTCTCAGCACTGGTAGAAGAACTTGCTCCTCGACAGCAATTTCTCAAACTCTAAGAAACATGTTCTTGCTTTCCAAATATTCTGACGTCTTCTGAACATTTCCCCGCCTTGAACAAGCGCAGGCGTCCCACCTCCACGAAAATTTGACCGGTCCCCTGCAGCCAGGTCTTGCGTGCCCAAAGACACTTCAACTCTTCCACGGTTGCGTTGTGCATCATGTAGATGGGGATGGGAGGCCCGAACTCGCTATGGACCATGACGATGTACCACCATCCTTGTCATAATCGTGATTGTGAACATAAACTGTGCAAAATCATTTTCCATTCGTGGTTCTGCACTACCGGCCTGTTGCAGGGCCGTCCATAGTGCTGCGTGAAGACCTGCACCTCTATCCTTGAGACTAGTGGCTGCACTGTTTAACAAGCTGCTGTCAATGTACATTATTCGGTTTTGGGTCTCTTAGGTCTCGGATCTGAGGTCTTGGAATAATAAGGGCTTTGAATTTAGGGTTCTGGCATTTACGAGCCCGTACGACTTATCTACTATTATAGAAGCTTTGCTCCCAACAGCCTAGCCGCAAACCTTTCTCGATGATGGAACGATTACCGTGAAAGGAAACCCCAAGGCTCTTACGAGACCCTACTACTTATCTACTATTAGAGAAGCTTTGCTCCCAACCGCCTAGCCGCAAACCTTTCTCGATGATGGAAGAATTACCGTGAAAGGAACGTCACGGCTCTTACGAGACCCTACGACTTGTCTACTATTAGAAAAGCTTTGCCCCTAATAGCCTAGCCGCAAACCTTTCTCGATGATGGAACAATTACCGTGAAAGGAACGTCACGGCTCTTACGAGACCCTACGACTTGTCTACTATTAGAGAAGCTTTGCCCCTAATAGCCTAGCCGCAAACCTTTCTCGATGATGGAACAATTACCGTGAAAGGAAACACCAAGGCTCATATGTGTGTTCCGGGTCTACAGGTCTTGACCAACAAGGCTGCCAAAGACCTTTTCGCGCGCGCACGCGCGCGTTGTTGGGATCTTGCAAGGCCGCCGGCTCGGCCCGAGAGCTTTAGTCAAAGCCACTCCTTCCGTCAGGGCCTCGCCTTACTCCTCCAGGCCGCTCCTTACATGTCGCGAGGCTCGTCTGCGGCATGGGTTTAGGGATTTAGGATTTAGGGTTTAGGGATTTAGGGTTTAGGGACATAGGCGTCACGGCTCGAGAAAAGTTTGGGGCCTGCGTCTCCTGTGGAGTTGTAGGTCTCACTTTTTATTCCTGACCCCAGCGCCATCTCGGCGCGCCGGTGCTTGCCCGGGGAGGCTTCACCAAGGGCTCTGGCCCTCCCCGTCACTGCCGTTCAATTGGCTGACGTGGGCATCTTTTACGGCTTGTATGTACAACAACAAGCTGTACACACCGCTTATCCCTCTGGCGGCGGTCGGTGTGTTTCTTATCTATATTGGCTCTCCTCCGACTTCTTCAATCTCTCACGGTGGTGCGGAAACGCGGGGCGAGCCCAAGTTGGCACCGTCGGCTTCGTCGCCTTCGTTCGAAGGCGAGGAAGCGGTTGCATCGTGGCGTCGGGCGGACTTCGGATTTTTCTCTCCTACAGCGACACCACGGCAGTATGCCGCCCAAGGCCACGGAGAAGTCCTCGAAGGCAGGGAAGGGCTCCCAGAAAGGAGAGGCGCCGCAGGTGACCCGAATAGACTTCGGATTACCTCCGGCGGTTACGACGTCGCTCCAATCTATCTCTTCGCGGGCGACTCAGGACCTCTGGTTGCAGGCCAACTTCAACCAGGAGGATGCCACAGCCGAACAGCAAGCCCAACGAAGGGCGAACGCTATTTCAAAATTATCCAAGCGCCTGACCGGCAATGCTCGTGCCAAGGACGAGTTGAAGACGTCGCTACAGCAATGGTTGTCGACGATTGGTCTCCATCTTCTGGGACTCATCAGTCGAGTCCGAGCTATCGGAGACAAGATCGACGAAGACACCCGTGGTGCTGTGCAGGAGATGCAAGCTGTTTTGGCGGAACAACAGTCCAGCGCCTCATCCGACCGGGTGGCTCTGGCACAAAGCTCCCTGGGACGAGTGTGGAGCTTGTCCCAGGTAGCAGAGGTACAGGCTATCGCCTCGGCTTTGAGGACCTTTTCCAGTGGTGCACTTGCCGGACCTCCAGATCCTACCTCCGCTGCGTGGCGTTTGGGCGAGGGCTCTGTGCCGACCCGAACGCCACCTCCGGTGACCACCCATGGTGCAGAGGGTCAAATGGTGGGCACTGGCGATATGGGCTCCGAGGCCAGCTTTGGGCTTCCGGGGCGTTCCCATATGGTAGGTGTGGACTACGGCATGGGCGACACCCCTGTATCTGTGCAGTTTGGCGCTGGCACCGAGCAGGCATCCGCCTCGGGACAGCCCTCGATGAGCTCTGGCGGGCGATGGCGAAAGCGGAGCGGCGGTGGCACCGAACGCCCCGCCAAGAGTCCTCGCAGATCACTCGAGACAACGCCGTGGCCCAGGGAGTCGACAGGACGAACCCCGGAATCTTTGAGCCGGCCGCCAGTCACGGAGATAACGGACAACGACACCGAGCTTATTCCGGACTTGTCACACACTGGGCCTGTTGCACCGGCAGCTCCCCAAGCGCAGGACTGGGTGGCGGCATGGCAGGCACTCCTTCGCTTCGCTGTCGACAGTGGGGCAGATCCAGTTGGGGATCTGACAACATGCCCGCGCCAGGATGCAGCTTTGCCGGTCACCACGGACGCCCAGGCCGAACCCTTAGTTCGGCAGCGTGTGGAGCAGACTTGGCAGGCCCTGAAGGATGGGGTCTCGGGCGAGGCCGATGCGGACCTTCCGTCGTTGCACAGACTGCTTGCAGAAGCGTTGCATCAGCTACGTGGATGTGCCGGCGCCCTTCATGCTGCACCTCAAGGACTTTTGGTTGCCGCCCACATTTCGGTGGGTGGTTTGCTCGATCCCTTTGCCTACGCACCAGCAACGGCACAAGAATGGCTGTTCCCAGGTCTCTTGACCGAGGCGGGCCTTCCTTGCAAGGGATTCATTGCGTTGGAAGCGTCCGCCCACCATCACGTCCAGACTATTCTGCGGCAGCCATGCCCTTTCCTGGAGAGCGTGGGGTTGGAGACCACGCAGGAGCTCACTTAAGGCTATCAAGCCCGAAACTTGCTCAGCTGAGCTTTGCCTGGCACCAGTGGTGCGGACTGACCGTCTGTCGTCTTGTGATCCTGGTAGGCAAGTTGTGCATAGTGTACATAGCTTTCCGGCGAGCTTGTACAGTCTCTGACCGCTTCCAGACCGCATACGGGCCTCGGCTTTCTTTTGAGCGCAAGTGGCAACTTGGCTGCACTGTGGTTGCGTCCGCGCTTTGGGCCTGTGTTGTGCTGGCCCCAGTCTCGGCCATCCGGTTTACCTTTTTGGCCCTGGCATGTGAGACCTGTGCCCTCCGTGTTGTCCGAGCAAGGGTTCTGACGTACCTCGAGCTGCTTTGCGGCTTGCAAACCCTTTTGGCCCTTCAATGCTGCTCCTTACCTTCCCGTTCTCCTCGACGGTTGGTGCGCTGCAATATTGTCCACGGCAAGCGTGTTGCGCCCGGTTCCGCTGCTGGCCGACACAGCAACCCGAGGTATACTGCCCTGACCTTCTTCCTTCTGTATCTGTCGCTCGTCGATGGTGCTTCACTCAGGACTGCTACTCAGTTGGGCTCGCTTGGACTTGCCCTGTGTCGACCCGTTGCCTCGGTGCAACTGCATGTTCATGGGTTCCATGAAAATCGGCCAGTCATCAGCACTGGACCAGTTTTGCCCACTCCCTCAGTCGAGGTGATGTGTCATGTTTACCCGGTGGGTCGTGCAGGCAATTCAATGCTGTCGCGCTCGGATCGTCACCGCCGATCCTTGGCCGTCTTTGTGGGCCAGCCACCTGGCTCACCGGTGCTTGAGCCTTGTCCGCTACTTTTCATGGCAGACGAATGGATGCATGGGCCGCTCCTGTGGGGACAGATTGCCGCGGCCTTGGGTTTCCGTGACGACGTGTTTTTCGTCACCACTCTCCAGAGCCCCCTTCCAGGCTTGCCAGGGGAGCAGCTCCTCATGACGCCACGGTCTCTACCGTGGCGATATGCTTGGCTCCCGGTGGACTTGAGAGCGGTTGGGGGTCGCATCTGTATGTTGATGTGTGTGCGCGACTCTTCCTGCCAAGCTATTGCTCAGCTTGCTATTACGGCGCAGGAACTTCAGCTCCGGGTCGATGGTCTTCTTGGCCGCTGCCATTGGGGTTGGCTTACCTTGAGTTCGCAACCACTCTTCCTGCAAGGGGTTGATGCTCTCCAATTCGCGTCTGGTCCCGGCCCAGAGTCACTGCAAGCCCCTCTCGGTGCTTCTCTGGATCCGCCTCTGTCTCTCCTCTCAGCTATGCAGGTCAGTCTCCCATCGGGCCAAGCCGGGGCCGATATTTTCCAGGGATACTCAAACAACCAGGCGATCCTCATAACACCGAATGGCCTTGTCTATGTTGAGGTGCCCGTCTTTGCTGACGCGGCGACTTTCCGTAGAATTGTGTCGTTTCGTGCCTCGCCTACTGCTCGAGGTGGGGTCATGCGCATTTGGCAACCCTTGCCATCGTTGCCATTGGTGCAGTTCCTTGAAATCCACTGTCACTCCGACGAAGTTCCGTGTATTTTGGATTTCAGGCCTTTGGGGTGGCGCATTGTCACTGCGTGTGTGCGTCCCCCGATCACTGCCTTGCGTATGCTTGATGAGGCCATCAGGCGTAATAATGGAGGCATTCCTGCTGACTGGTTGGACCAGTGCGCTGACGGCCGTTTTGGGCTCCTCCATCGTGAAAGCATCGTTTTGCCCGATCAGTTGCTTCACGGGAACTTGCCAGTTGTGGTCATGTTCTTCCCTCATATCTTCAGGCAGGACTCCTCTTCGTCCTCTGAACAGCAAGTCGGAGGGCGGCCACCTCCATCTGGTGAGGATGCCGACGGTCCCGTTTCCAGCCACACCCTGTTTCTGCCTACTGCCACTTCCGGGGTGACCCCCGACGTGTTTTTGGGTACTGAAGGTGTGGGCCTTAACCCCCCAGGTGAGGATCTTTCCTTTGTACCTGAAGGGGGTGCTGGTACGAGCGCGAGTTGCACTTCAATGCAGGCTCCTACTCTGCTCTTGGGTACCCTTCTGAGCACTCTTCATTCATTTGCTGTGGTTGATCTGAAAGGCCTGCCTTTGGCACTTTTACTGTTCGTTGCTTTCAGGCCGTCCACCGCGGTCCAAGTTCACAGCGCCCCTGGGTCTCCGCGCCAAGTCTTGCAAGGGGCGTCACTTGCCCGGGATCGTGATCTTGCTGCCCCCCCCTTTGGCCCATGTCGATCTACAAGGGATGTGGCAACGCACGGGCGACTTTGGTGACGCCTTGCTTTGGCCCAGCCTCGGTGATTCATCCCGCCGTTTCCTTGTCACGTGCAAAATTTGGGCGCCAGAGTCCTCCCTTGTACTTCAATTTCTCGGGGATATGGATGCAGGGGAAGTCGCAGCCGAGCTTCACAGGCAAGCTGTCCGTCTGGGGAGGCCACACCTGGTTGCAGCCTCCACCGGTCCTACTTTTGATAAGGTCCATTTAGTTGCGGCAGCATCGGGCCGTGAACACATCACTGTTCTCGTTGATGCGTGTGTCGATATTTGCTGTGTCGACTTACCAGCTGCCTACACTTCCCGGGATGTAATTGTTGCGGTAGCGCAGTTCCTCCAGCATGATGCCTTTCAGATTCTTTGGGGGCGCGGCCTACGATTACGGCATGGCGATGTTGTTACTGTGAAGCCCGCTCGACCGACGCAGCATTTTGACATCTCGTCTCTTTTGTTGCCACTTCCCAAGTGCTCTACTGCTGCATGGCTGGCGCCGGTACGCCACGTCTCTGTGGTTCAGGCCGCGGAAGGGGTGCATACTTTTAGTGTGCCAGCTAGTACTACCGTGACGGCTGAGGTACTGCGTCTTCTTATGTCCAAAACCTGCACCGGCAAATTTTCGTTCTTTGATCTGCCCTTCCCAGATGTGCTGCCCCATGCTTCGTTTGTGGCAATCGGCCGCCGGCAATGCGTTGTGGTCTACAGAGTCAACGACCGTGCGGACCCTGCCTCCCTGGGGTTGATCCTGTGCTTTGAAGGCCGCTTCGTGTCTTATGACGAGTTTTTGCTGCAGCTTGCCTCTCGGACGGAACTCCCTGCTCGTCTTCTCCGGTCTCTCCAGTCCCACGGGATGACGGTGCTTACTTGGGAGACTACTGCACTTCCTGGGGACCCTACGTGCCGCCTGTGGTGTGTCCATGTTGTGGTAGACATGAATCGAGCATTCCCCGCGGGGCTGCGCTTCAGCCGTGCGGTCCGGCCGATAATACATGTACCCATACCTCTGCAACTGCCCAGCGGTGTTCGGACCTCTGACGCCGGTGTTCAAACTGGAGGCCCCTTTCTGGTGCCAGACACTCACCCCCTTAGTATGCCAGCTCTGCCCGTCGATTGCGGGGTTGGTCTCTCTCCACCTAACCCGAGCATCTGGTCAAGCTTGTGGTGCGAACATTGGCGATTAAAGTGTGTGGTGCCATGCATTCCAGGCTTCGCACTCTGGGCTATCCGGGACGGGGCCCTTGTGTTTGGGGTATGTTCCGCCGCTCCTTCCTGGGATAATGTTGCTAATGTGTTAGCGCTTTCCCTCTGGGAACTTCCGCAAACCTTCTTGTATGATGAGGGCAAGGTATGGCCATACCCAGGTGATTTGCATGACGTTGCGGATCGGTGTGTTAACATCGGTCATGACTCCCACGACGGAGTCGCACAGCTGGCCAGACAGTGTGAATGGCAGCAGCCAGCCCCACCTCCGGCCCCCTCATCTTTTGCTGCTGCCGCATTCTTGGCGTCCGGTCGAGTGAGAGTGCTTGCCCTTCTGGCTTCCCTTGCTATAGGTGCAGGCGGTGTCCAGGTCAATGCACCCCCAGGTAGGCTCCGGCCACACGACACCTTCGTTACCTTCGTCCAGGACAGGCGGGATTTTGCCCGCACATGCACCCTTTCATGGACCCATGAGTTGGGGCGTCAAACACACGGATTTGGGGTCTCCCCGACCAGCCTGGGTGCATTTATTGAAAGGAACGGTCCCTCGGATGTTCAGCTGCACTTGTGGCTCCCCGGGCGAGGCCCCATTCATATTCGTGTGAGTGCCGCGTACATTGAACAGCATCTGCGTGCATACCTGGCAGCCTTCCTTCCCTCCCCTACCTTTAGGTTGCATGTCGCTTTTGACTCCTGTCCTCATGTGCTGGAGCTCGTTGTGGTGCCTCCTGGGTCCGGGGTTTGGTGGATTATTCGGGACGAAAGGGGGCGCGAGCTGCTTCGCCCGGTGACGCAGCATTTCACAACTCATTGTCATTTCCACTTCTGTACGCTCGACCCGGATGGTTCTGTACTTCAGCTTGAGCCATCTTCTGCCGTCCGTGACGGCCTCGTTCCCCCGCAAGGGGCCCGTGCCGCGATTACCCAAGGCCTTCCAAACCTTCTTGGTCATTGCGTACAGGGAGCTGTGCGCATTGCTGCTGCACGTTCCCCGCGGACCCTAGTGGGCGTGGCCCTCTGGCTGGTTTCCCTCAGCAGTGTTGTTGTCGCTATGCAACCGGGCAGTGCACCCGGCCCGTCTGAGTACGCTATCATTCCTGCTGTGCAGCCTCCAGACCCGTCCCCGGATGTGATTAGGATCTGGACGCTTAACGTAAGGGAACCTATAGATATCCCCTGGCTGCCCCAGGGCTACCCGACACGCTGGCTGTGTGAGCTTGTTAGTCGCCTACATAATATAGCTAGCCCTGGGGAGTTTCGTTCCACGCATCACCCGGCAACGGACCCAGTCCAACACCTCATGTTCGTGCCGGTTGTGCCTCGGACGGTTCCCCCTTCTCGCTTCTGGCTGTTGCACTTTGGAGACTCAGCGACTGTCACGTTTGGCCACCACCCCTTTGATTGGGATATATTGGCGGCTCATTTGCGCGCTCTGTTTCATCATGAGCTAGTACCAGAGCGCTGTCCAGCCTTAGGGTTTGGCGGTAACCTGTTCCCACCCGGGGTAGGTCTCCCGGAATTCCCCTCCGGTGCCATCATTCAGGTTGTTCTAGGAGCCCTCCCGATGATTCCGGGTGATAACGTTTGGGAGCCTGACCCCTTCATTGTCGAGGGTCCCTTCTTTAGGACTACCCCTAGTCGGGGGCCCCTTCATGAACCTCCAATAGTAGTTGGGGTTGACGGCCAGAGACTTGATGGGAACGGAGTTCGGCCACCCTGCCATGATTGTGCGACGCAGACTAATCTTACAGGAGAAGGTGTGGGGATTCACCATGCTGCTGTCCTGCGGGTCAACGACCTAGCCCGGGATCTAGCTTACCATGCAGCGCGTCTGTGGCAAGGACTGGCCGAGCCAGACGCTGAACCAGTTGGCGACTCCGGACGCGGGCTCCAAGCCTCTGCCACCCCGACTCGCCCGGTTGACCTTCTTGACCTTGACCCCTCTCGAGGGGACAGAGATGCATCCCCTGCCGCCGCTTGGTGGATCCTATGTTTCGGCCGTCAAGCAGGGACTTTCCTGAGACATCTTCACCTCGTTGGCTGCGTTCTCCTGCTTCCGGGGTGGGTGTCCGCATCTATTATCTCACCTCCTGGTTCAAGTTCAGATGAAGAGGGCAGTTCTCCAGCCACAGTGACCACTTTCAATGCGGCGACCCATGGAGCTGGCCGAGCCCCTCATGTGCGTCCTGCCGGGCCTCCGCCGCCCATTCCGGCCAACGCGCCACCGGTCGCATCTCGCATTCTCTATCTGCAGGCTGCTACCCCTGTGGAAGACTACTCCTTGGGTCAGTGGCCACCGGTTGGCCCTGCTCGGGCTACCGTTTCTCCTTCTGCCGTTACCACTGTGCAAGTCCAACTGTCCCAGTTTCAACATGGGGTTCGAGCGGTTGTTGACGCCATCCCTCCAGGTACGCCCATCTGCATACACAATCCCTTCACGGCGCGTGCACAATGCAGCTGGTTGGAATATCATGCCGGGGTGGAGATTTCGCCCTTTACTGTGTTTCAAGACCATGCCAATCACCGTGGGTGGAGAGGCCTTGCTCTCTTACATCCACAACCGGATGCCCTGGCGGTCCACCTCATTGGCCAGCCGCTTCATCCTGACAATGCTGCGGTCGGGATTGTATTGAGAGATCGGTTGGTCCCTTGTTGCCTACCGCGCTGTGTTCGGGCATCTGCCTTACATTCGCTCCATGTCGGGGACGATGTCTGTGATCTCCACTTTTCTGGGTTGATCCATGACGAAGCCGATACCGTGCAGCTACGGGATGGAGACTGTTTAGGTGCTCGCATCAGACCCCCACGCCCCTCTGCTACCCGACTGGAGGTTGCCTACGCCACGCCCGCCTCAGCTGACGCTGGCGCGCCCGTTGCAGAGGATCGATCCTCATCCATACTTGGCGCCCTCGGTTGGGCCGCTTCACCCTTGCGGTACCTTGGACTCTTCCTCTTTGGGCGTGGCTGGCGTCATGCAGGGCCTGGATGGATTGTGGTCTGCTTTGGCACCCTAGCTGTCTCTGCTATGCACCGCCCTGGCGGTTTTCCATGGGGTGAGCACCCCCGTAATAGAGAGCTCCGTGATATCACGGCCCACGACCCGGTTTATGTTGTCTTGCATAGCCCCTTCCTTGGCGCTTACCCTGCTTATACCGCGTCAAGAGATACGCGCCACCATGTCATTTGGGCACAGTTCCTGAATGATGAGCCTGCTTGGCCGGCAGACTTCTTCCCGGTGTGGCCGGGCCCGGCATTCAATGAACTGTCGATAGTCCCAATCGGCGCCGACCCTGCCATTGTCACTTTGATGCTGCAGTGGCGAGGCCTCCCTCGTGCAATCGTCACACCGCGGGTCATGACAGTTAAATGGCTCATGTCCTTGATCGCCCGTCTTGTAGGGCAACATGTGGGAGAAATTGCTGTCCCACATGGCCTGGCGGTCGCAGAATTCTTCGATGTGCCACCCGCCGCACTCAAGTTTCGCAACGGTGATGTCGTGTACGCACTGGAGGCCCAGGATGCCGATGACGAGGCACTGCAGGTGGTCGAACCATGGCATCTACAAGATGGACTCGCAGCCCAGCACGCCCCATGGGCCTTGGGGTTTCGCCTTATGTTTGATGTTCAGGTCCAGTTACTTCGCCCTGACCGGCCGCCGGTCCTCGCGCGGGTGGCTGCCGAAGAAGCTTGGTGCCCTGAATCTCACTGCTTTTCAGGCGACTTCCAACTGCGCTTTCCGGGCATGTGGACTCCTGTCCAGTGGACTTCTGCGCGTCAGGTCCAGTTGGTTCAGGTCTGTAATGTTGCAGCCCAGGTCCACGTCATTGTGGCCACACCTGGTGAGCGTCTCTGCCGAGTGTCAGACAGGTTTGTCTCTAAATACACTCTGGCATCATCGCTAAATCTTGACCCCGCCTCTGTCTGCGTGGGTGGGATTCCGGCATATGCGCTTGAACAGTCCTGCGAGCTTCGGAACGGAGATGTTGTTTTTTGCAATGCTGAACAGGGCGACAGCTCTGGCTCGGTTGGGCCACTTGCTCGCACCGTCCTGGCCGCTGTCTTGTGGGCTGCCGTCACCCACTGGCCAGACCGGGTCGGCTGGAGCCTCTTGGCAATGCTTGTGCTTGGCCAGTGTGCAAACCATGATGGCACTCTTTTCGGCTGTCACGCTATGCAGCTTCAGGCCGCCCCTGTCGCAGGCCCTATGTCGGCTGAGCCAGGAGTCCCTCGAGCATCTGCTCCATCCCGACTCATGCAAGTCCACGTCGCCGACCCCTTTGCGGCCTGGACGGTTGTCCGGGTCGATGAGTCCGAGATCTTCCCCAGCCTCCTTGAGGTATGTCCGGGCGCCCTAGCCTCATGGCATCGGGGATTTGCCATTGCTGACGCTACCTCAGTGGGGCTACATGTTGCTGTACCGCACCCTGGACGGGGGTTAGTTTGCGTCCTGATTGTCGGCCTTGGGCAACGCCTCTGTGTGTTGCTGCCTGCGTTTCTGACTCTCCGCGCAGCTGAGAGGGCAGTTAGCCTCCGTATGGGGCAGCTTGTGGCTCTCCAGTTAGGTCCAGGTCTCGTTGCCGAGTCGAGACAGCTGGGCGCTTTCCTTGCCCTTCGTACCGGGGATACTTTGGGTGTTCGACTTGTCAGTACGCTTTCGTTTGCTATGACCCCTCCTCTGCCTCACTTTCCTACCTGGCAGCGTGCCCACGCTGAAGGCGCGTGGAGGACCGACTTTGTGGTTGACCACCCCTCCTCCCTGCTGCTGTGGCGACCAAATTGTCCCACCCGATTACTTTGCGTTGGCCCTAATCAACGGTGGAGTGCAGCTCAGGCGACTATTTTAGGGGACGACACCCCCTTCGCAGAGGGACGGTGGACGCCCTGTGTCGGGCATCAAGGAGTCATACCATGGCTCCTTTTGCAAGCTACCGAGCCCTCACAAGTTCATGTCATCCGCACCCACAGCTGCACTGAATGCGTCGCGATTAACCGTGATGCTGCCTATGACATGTGGATTGATGGTTTTCAGGTCCGCCCGCCTACAGCTCGGCCGGACAAGATCACTCGAATCCGGGAAGGAGATTGGTGGCTCAAAGCTGTTGCTAGCGGAGGGGGTCTGGTCTCTGGTGCATCTAGGGGGTCCCGATTCTTCCTTTTGTTGGCCGTCTCGTTTCTGCATTTTCCAGCTGTTTCGGCTGCCTCGTCTTCCGAGGGTTGCCGCAGCCCTGACTCGTCTGAGGCTCGCACCATCAGGTCCCGAGGGCGCTGGGATGCGCGCAGCCGGAGTCGATCGCCACCATTAGTTGTCCACTTTCCCCCACGAATTGATTGGACCGATGGCGAACCTTTCATCTTACATGCTGGCTGGCGCCTCCACGAAGGTGATGGCCTTACCGCATTCGACCAATGCTATCTGCGTCCAGATCAGGCCACCGTCCGCACATTATGTCCAATCCTTGGATGGAGCGCCGCTGAAGCTGCTGATCTAGGGCGTTCCTGGACATATTTTGATAGGATTGGGCAACGGTTTTGTGGCAGCTGGGGCACTCGTTTCTTCCCAGTTCGAGGGGTTCGGCCACTCACAGAAGTCGTTCTTGCCCCGGTCGCTCCCTGCGGTTTGGCCACTGTAATCATTCACACTTTAGATGAAACGGGTGCCTTTCTCTTACCGGTCGACACGACCCCGGCTGCCATTCAGGCGGCTGCTGCAATGCGCTCACCCCAGGTCAGATCCTGGCATCTTATGCTTCCACCGGCGCTCCGTGCTGTGCATGAACATCAGGTCATTCGACTGCGCAACGGGGACCTCTTTGGGCTGCAGCCTTGTCCTGGTCAGCCGGGTTATGCACCACGTCCCACACTGAATTTTCCTTCCCTTGAGGTCGCCCGTCAGGTCGCCAGTTGGTCCCTCCCCTTTCGTTTTGATACTGGGGACACGGCGACATTCTGGTCCACCTCTAGCCGGGTAGGGCGCTCGGTCACTATACGAGGCGGTGGGATATGGGACCCGCGCGGACCCACGTTTCGAAGTCTGAATGGCCAGCAAATGTTGGGTTCGTGGGTCCCGGTACTACAAGGTGGCCTCACACGTTTGCATTTTGTCAGTCGGACCCTTCCGGTTGAAGCCCTTGTCATATGTTTGATCCCACCCACTGACGAACCGATCGGGGTTTTCCTGGCTGGCATCTGTGCATGCCGACCCCCCTTTGGCTGGAGACTGGTCCCTTCCATTCGACGCAGCCGCGCTGGAGGGTCTCTCCGCGACGCTGATGTCCTCGAGGTTGACCCTGATGCGACTTTCACCTGGGATCCCTTTGATGGTCGCCCCCCGCTTCTTGCTGAAGATACGCCGGGTCAGGCTGATCGTCAGGTTGATCCGGACTCCTCTTGGGACCTTGGCTTTCCGGCTGCCATCTCCGCTGCGTCCTGCGTTCTTTCCAAACGCAGCTTCAGTTGGGCTCTGCTCCTATATGGTTGGCTATCTCTGTCTGGTGTCTGGGGCATGTGCCAGCCTGTTGATACGGCACCAGCCCCGGTTCGCGCTGGCTTTTTCCCTTGGAGGGCCCCCACAGGTCATGAGAACATGCAGGATCTCACTGAGCGGGCCACGTTGGAGGTTGTCTATGTCAGCCCATTCACTGGGCCTCAAGTTCTGGGACAGGTCCCAACTTCGGAGTCACCAGATCACTTGCTTGATAGGGCAAGTCAGCTCGAGCCTGGCTGGGGAACAGGAATTGCCCCGGTATGGCCGGCTACGCCGCTTCCCTTCCTTATGGTTGTCCCTCAACCGCCTTGCCTTGACCTGGTGTGTGTTGTGGTGTCCTCGCTGGAGGATCATTTTGCTCTGTGCATCCCTCGGGTCGCGCCCCTTGAATGGATTGCACAGGTCCTGCGGTACAGCCACTCCCTGCACGCTTTGTCTCTCCGTGCACCGGCTACTGTCCGGGACTTAGCTTCAGACGTCTACTGGCGGTCGGGAGATTTGCTTGTGGCGCTCCCACCTGCGGTTTTTGAGCCCACGTACTCCCCGCCTTGCTTTGCCACTGCGACCCAGCTTCGGCACTGTGCAATTTGGTCCGTCGATTTCTCTGTTTCCTCTACGATTGAGGTAGTCTTATGGCGACCTTCGGTGCGGCCACTCCGCTCTCGCATCCCGGCCCTGGCTCGATGGAATGCCTTGGACCTCACCTTTGAGGGTGTGTTTGCCCAGCGGTTCCCGGGTCGCTGGGCGCCAGTTCCGTGGGCCGCCGACGACCTGCCCCATCTAGTCCAATGCTCTCAATCGGCAGATGATGTAACTGTTATAGTTGAATCCTCTGTTGGGTGCTTCTGCAGTGAGATTCCAGCCTGTGTTGATGCGTGGCAGCTTTGGACTGCGCTGCCTACTCTGCCCTCGCAACCGCAAGTCCTTGGGGTCCCTAAGGCCGAGCTTCGCCACGGCACCCTTCTGCGCAACGGGGATGTTGTGTCAGGGACTTCTCCCCGGGAACAACTCCCCGTGTGGATCGCCCTTTCGCTTTCACTGCTTTGGCGGTGGCCGTGTTTGGGAGGCGCCAGTCTCCTTTTTATTCTCACCCCGGAGGTTCGTGCTGTCCGCACTCCGGCCAGTGGGACCAACACTGAGTACTTGCATCGGGTCTGGAATCCTGCTGGGATGGTGCAGGGGCCCTTTCCTGGGCCATCGCACCGATGCCCGGACGTGCTACGCCATAGTATCCCTGCATGGGATCATTTCGTTCGAGTACGCCCGACTCAACATGTTGCCTTCATTGACTGGGTCCCGGCCCCTCCGGACCCGGACTCTGTGATTGTGCTCCTTCACGGCGGAGTGAGCTCGCGTGCTGTTATGCTGCCATGGCGAGCTTCGCCCCAGGAAGTCTTAGATCGTCTCCGTGCGTTCGCACCTTTAGCCTCTTCCGTTTCCGCCACTCCAGCTGCATGGAGAGGTACCTCTCTCTCCAGATCTCCCATTCTTTACCTGCGCTCTGGGGATGTGCTCTGCCTTGACAGCGTTTCTTGGTATCCTCGCCTTCGTCAGCCGCGGACCCTGGAATGGCCCACGGTACAGTTTGCGGCCGCCTTCGCGTTTTGGGGGCACTCCTTTAAAGTACTTGAGCCGGGCCTTATATTTGCCTGGCAATCTGGGGCAGTCTTGCCGCTCTGCGTACCTACCGTACGAGGTGAGCGATGGGACCCCAGCAGGGGGACCTTCTTTCCCTCTCTTGCACCTTTCAGCTTTTCTAGATGGGTTCCCGCTGTTCGGGTCGACCCTCTGGGTCTGCATCTGGTCGAAGAGAGTACACAAGGTACGATTGCACATACACTGGCTTGCACGTACCCCCCGCGGGTTTGCGCGACTGAGGTATGTCTCAGTCCTTATGCACCCCGCGATGGGGATGATTTTGGCCGGCGAACCACTGGGATTCCCGGGCTAGGTCTTTGGATAGGCTTTCTTACCCAGGGTGCAAGGCTGCGGTGCCGGCCCGCCTTTTACATTCTCGGCCTGCTCTGGTTGCCCCTTTTTGTTGGGTCGGGCCCTATGCCACACCCCCATGCTTGGAGACCGGGGCTTGTCATATATCCCGATCTCGGGATCTCCCAACTCAGCGGACGTGCTTTCTCGTCTTGGGATCATCTCTTAGCGACGTGTACGGGCGTGCCTGGGGAGCCCCTGCGGTCTACGGGCCCCCAGGAGCAGCTAGAGCTGCGCGCCATGATAGCTGCTCTATCGACCTTAATGACGCTGGCTATCATTATGCCGGCTTAGCTGCTCATTATCTTGCTCGGCCGCTGCCCCTTAGCCTCCCCGCTCTCTTACCAGACATGTACCACGGCGGCTGGCAGCGTTTCCCACCCTGGGCTGGTGGAGTCCCTGATGAGGTCCTTATCGCAACTGTGATGGAAGTGGCACCCACTCCGGTGGATGGGCCTTTGCAGCCTGGTGTTGTTGGAAAGGTGCTTGGTACCGTGTCGGTTGGGATGCTGGTGCCCTGGGAATGACCCCTTGGCTTCCCAGTTTGCCGGAGGGAGGTACGGATCTCCGCTCCTATGCTGGGGAACTGAGTGCCCTAGTCTCAGCCGCTGCGTGGCTTACGGCTTGGTGGGACCACCTTCTACTCCATACGGGTCATGCACCTAGGCAAGTCACTATAGCAGTCGATAATAGTGCCGCTCTGCAGGTCGCTTGTGGCCATGCCGCAGCCACCCTTGTGCACTCTCAAGTTTGCCGAGCTCTTTGGCAGGGCGTCCAGTCCCGGTGTGCCACTCACTTCCGTCATGTCCCGGGGCACGCTGGGGCCCTGGTCAATGAAATTGTTGACGCGCTGGCCGGGTATGCCAGCCTGCACTCCAGGTGTGCCACAGCAGGTTGGTGTCGTCTGCTGCCAACCTTTGGGGATACACTCGCTGTCTGTGCCCCATTGATGTGGCTCCTACCGCGCGCTCAGCTTGGCCCACATGGCCTTCACTGGCGGCCTGCGGGGTGGGAGTCACCGCCTGCACAACCACCTGCCGCGGAGAGTCGTCAGCCTCTGCCGTCGGCCCCTCCGACAGGCGAACCTGACTGCCCCATACCGCTTCGCATCAATTTCAGGGTTGTGCAGGCTAACATCCAGACTATTAAAGATGTAGATGTGTCCTTCTTCAACCGTGAAGGCCACGGTCAACGTCGGGTCTACCTAGCCAAGCAGCTGCAGGCCTTGGATGTTCAGATTGCGTTTCTCCAAGAGTGTCGCAGTCGGCCAGGCCGATGGTCCTCTCACGGCTTCCTAAGCTTTCGCTCTGGTGCCGAGAAGGGACTGTATGGGGTAGAAATTTGGATCCGCCCAGATCTGCTACAGCCGGCCCTATCGTTGGATGACTTTAGGATTCGCCATGCCGACCCACGCATGTTGTTAGTCCAGTGTCAACGTGCCGAACTACCGATCACCCTTGTTGCTGCCCATGCCCCACATGCGGAGAGGCCGGAGGCGGAAGCGCGGCGGTTTTGGGGTGATTTTCGAGTCCACTTGCTTTCGGCCTGCAACCGGGGGACTGTGATAATCGGCGTGGATGCCAATGCTGACATTGTAGGGCGCGACGAGGATGAGGTCCTTGTTGGCGATTTACTCTCCCTGCGGCCCCCACGTTTGAATGATGACCTTCTCTTGGCGTGCCTGCACGATGCCTCATTGGCTGCGCCCGGGACTTGGGCAGAGATTCACTCTGGTCCTACTTGGACGTGGCAACACACAGGCGGCAAGACCCAACGGCTAGACCACCTGCTCGTCTCAAGCGGGATCACGGTTCAGGCCCACCGACAGTATCCTGAGTTCGACATTCTGAATGGGGAATCCAGGGACCATATGCCTATCACTGCCCTGATTGAAGTCTGCGGGCGTCGCGGGAGGAGGGTGCAATCACGTTGCCCATATGCACCCGCGAGTGGTGATCGGGTTGCCTCTACGATGTGGTCTCTGCTGGGGGACACCTTTTCAGGCACCTGTGAAGAACAAGTCCAACGGCTTTGCGACGCCCATGATGCTGCCGTCAAGCAGCTGCCTGCACGGCCACCCTTTCTCCGGCGGCAGCCATACCTCTCTGTAGCAGCCGAAGTACTGCTCACTACGCTTCGGGATGCCCGGGCTGAGCTCCGACGAATCTCGGCCCTCCAGCGACTGCAGCTCTGCCGCATTGCCTTTCATTCGTGGCGACCGCAGACGCCTGGGGTTCCCAGATGGGAACGCCACCAGACTCAGATGCTGCGGGCTCATTACGCCCACGTTTGCTTTAAACTGCGGGCCCAGGCCCATGCGCAGGCTCGCCAGGACAAGCAGGCTTACTTCGAGTCGCTTTTGGTCGGGGCCATTGATCATTGGCATGCCACCGGTCGGCCTTCGGAAGCTGTTGCCAAGCTTTCACGGGCATCTAAGGGTGCTAAACAAAAGCGTGATGTCCGGGCCGCCAGTGGCTTTGATATCGACGAACAGCTCCAGTTGCAGTTTCAACAGCAGGAAGGGGGACGTCCTGTCTCTGATGATCAGTTACAAATTGCCTTTTCACACTGGGCCACCCTCCCACGACCTGCATGCGCGGCTGCTGTGCCCACTCTCCTTGACGTTGAACATATGTGCAGGGCACAGCGACGGGGCAAGGCCCCCGGGCCTGACCACATTCGAAATGAAATTTGGAAAGCCTGCCCGGACCGGGCCGGCCGTTGGCTGTGGCCCATGTGGCTGCGTATGGCATGGGGAGAAGCCGAGCCCCTGCACTTCAAAGCTTCTATTGTCGGGGCTCTGCATAAGAAAGGCCCGGCCCACATCCCGGCTAATTTTCGGTCGATTGCCATGCTCAACGGCGTCGCAAAGCTATGGCACTCGCAGCTGAGGTCCACACTGGGTCAGGAAGTCATTGCCCATTATTTCCCCACCCAACTGGGTGGCAGGAAGGGAATCGATACTGGCCTCGCCCTAAGTGTCTTCCGGTCCGCTGTTGACTTGGCTTCCGTCCGCGGGCACTCATGGGCCGCATTGTTTGTTGACATTCAAGCCGCCTATTATGAAGCTGACCGACTCCTGCTTTTCCAAGGTCGTGATCTTGACTCTGCTTTGCAGGGGCTCCAGCTTCCCAGACATGTACACCGACTTATTCAGGATGGCGTACTGACCGGGTTAGGAGTCCCCGAAGATCAGGTCGCCCTCTTGCGTGACTGTGTGGAATGTTCCTTTTGGCGGATGGTTGGGCAACCGCAAGCTATCATTGCCAGCCGCGGCTCCCGGCCCGGAGATGGCTTGGCTGATGTTCTTTTCGGCGCCCTGTTTGCCGTGATCTTGCAGTGCCTCCATCATGCCCTTCTTGCTGAGGACATTGTCCACACTGCATCTGCCGATGCTCTGGGTCAGCCCGACGCCTCGCTGCAGATCGCGTGGGCAGATGATCTGTGCCTCCTTGTTGACTTCATCCGAGCTGCGTGGGCTGTCACGAAGCTCCGTCGCTTGTGTGCCATTGTGTTACAGGTGTTTGAGGCTTTTCGTTTCCGGGTTAATCTTGGCCCTGGAAAGACTGAGGCCCTTGTCCACCTCCAGGGAGCTGGGGCCAATGCCGCCAGGAAAGAGCTTCTGTCGCCTGAACCTTGCCTCGACCTTCCTGATGGCAGATCTATCAGGGTTGTACCTGAATACAAATACCTCGGCGTCGCGCAGCGTTGTCGCGACACCGGTCGTCGAGATATCGAGGCTGCAGCCGCTCGAGGCAACACTATCTGGACCCAAGCAGCCGGGCTGGTTCACTCCCCTCACCTTCCGTGGCCCTTGAAGCTTGTGTGGCTGCAAGGGCGGACCCTTCCTGCCGCTTATTCTTCGCTTGCCACGACTCTTGCTCGTTCAGAGCGGGCCTGGGGCCCTCTTCATGGGTTTCTAGACAAGTGCCTCCGACAACTCGTTGGGGCTTGGGATGCTGGTCACCATGTAGCCTCAGCCCAACTGCGAGCATGTACGGGTGTTCTGGATGTTGAATGCGCCGTTATCATTGCCCGGGTCCGTCTGTTATGCCGGATTGTCTCCGGACGGTCAACCGAGGCCTTCGAACTTTTCCAAGCAAGCTGGGATCGCGGAGGTGAATGGGCCTCCTTGCTTGCTGAGGCAGTGCGTCGTGTCTGGCCTGCCTCCGGTCTCCCTGCGCTCCAGCCAGGGGAGCCCACTCTATTGGGGATACGGCGACACCTCAAGAAGCTCCTTACGGCCTGCCGGAAAATTAGCCGCTCAGGCACTATGCTTCTTGCCCTTCAACGTGCCTGGAAGAGTCACGAGAGCCCCACACCGAAGCGGGTCATCGGCCTTGCCTCCCCACGGATTTGTTCAGAATGTGGGGCGACACTTGCGTCGGCTCACGCCCTCGCAGCGCACATGCACAGGTTGCATGGCCGAGTTGCCTTGTGCACACAATATACCCTCGGTACTGTCTGCCTGTGGTGTCTGACGGAATTCCACAATGCAGCTCGGCTCCGTTATCATCTGCTTCACACCCCTGAGTGCGAACATGGCCTCCGCTGTTGTGTAGGGCCTGTCTACGAGTATGGCTCTGGCACAAAACGGCGTGGCAAGCAAGGCCACGCGCGTGCACCAGTCTTTCGGATTTGTGGGCCTTTGAACGCAACCGCAGCTCAACGCCTTGCTGCGGCTGAGGAAAGATGCTGCACGGAGGCCGAGCTCTCGGCAGAGCTGAGTTTGCTTGCACCCGGGCCGGGCTTTGCCGATGGTGCCCGCTCCTCGCCCGTGGTACCCTTCCGGCGTAACTCTGACAGTGCTCCTGCAGTCTCTCCGCCCGTGTCTGTCGACGCTGGACTTCCGCCTTCCCTGCTTGCGCCGCCTACAGCGTCTGCCGCGTCTGCTGCCCTACCGGAGCTGTTCCCTCGTCCGGAATCTGCCCCCGTTGGGTCTCTCCGAAGCTCGCTTGGACTTGATTCCCGGGGCATGCCCTCGTCAACTCTTCCTCATGTGGTGTACCGCTTCGTTGAGTTTCCTCCCGACTGTGAGACTTCGGTTCTGTCTTGTCGGTGGGATGGTGTGCCACCCGCGATTTGGTGCTTGCCGGACAGCTGGGCTACTTGCTGGCGGGTGTTCTTGGCGCTTGACATGCAGCACCCATGGTCGCCGGAGGTCTGGCGTCTTTCGGCCTTCTTGCGCAAAGAGGAGCGTCCGACACCTTGCCCAGACGGGTGTGGCCCCGCCGGGTTTGGGCATTTTGCTTCGGGTCGCATTCTCTTCTTGCGGCGGATGCTTACTTTCTTGC